ACCAATATATCCCCCTCTTGAGGGCTTTTAACCTTTGAAACTCAACCAGTTTTCTCACAATTATTATTATTATTATTATTCTCAATCATCCAACAAAAAGTGGATTTTTCATTGTATCTGTTAAGAAATAGAGATGCCGGAGATGGATTGTAACACCCCCAACCCCTACCCGACCCGGATATGAGTCAGAGATACTACATTAACTTTAATAAGCAACTCTTAATAAATAATAGTAAAATATTTGTACTTGTATGAAGAAAATACAATAATATACATACTGTAATATAAGTTTACCAAAATATTCAGAGCATACACAACTTAACCCTTTAATTACATGCCAACTGCTATTTACATCACAAAATGACCTACTGATTAAGTTGCTTCTGATCTGATGGTTGCAGGAGTAATACTGTCAAGCTGCTTCACCTGTCTCGTCTAATTCCTCGGATCCTACGTGTGAAACACTCACACGCTAAGTCATCGACTTAGTGAGGCAATAATAATAACAAGGCAATTATAATGAAAATGTTATGATCATATGAGATGAAATGCAAACATGTACTTAATCAATGTAGTATACATCATCAATACCCATACCTGTAAGCGTATGACTGTAACATTCATGAATCTGTATTAATAAGTTTATTGGCCCATGATAGCATATTGAGAACCTAAGGTATTTGAGTAATGTGAGGTTGTGCACTATGCTGTCACCACAGCTCGTATAAATGCACCGAAGTGCCCCGTAGAATTGCACCGAAGTGCCCGTAGAATTGCACCGTAGTGCCATATAATGATGTCCATAAGGACCACATAGAATTCCTTAAGAATCATATACATATACTATGGATCAAGTATGTGTCTTTCAAGACTTCACACAGGTTCCAAAGGATATACATATGTCCTAAAGAACCGAGTATACCCTCTACCCTTGGCATGCCAACTATACCTATAGTTCTCATCTACATAACATGGGCTTATACATTTCCCGTAGTTCATATCACGTAGTCATATTATTTCCATACCTTTATCACATAGTCATATCATTTACATACCTTTATCACATAGCTCATATAACTTTTCTGCATATTCATGTCATGCAATACATATCATATGAATTCATGTCATGTAATACATTTAATATAAATTCATGTCATGTATCATAATATGGAATGTGATCATATGTCAAAATATGGAATCTAGACTTATCACAAGTCTAGAACTGAATATAATACTATATTCATGCTATGCATATGCACTCACCTATACTTCTTTGCCTTTTCCTCGATCGATTCTACTTGTAGATTGTTCCCGAACTCGAGTAGGCTCGGTATCTACATAAACATAATTTTCAAGATGATCATCAGATGTCTATGTCTTGAAATTAAGCTTTAATAACTTACTAATTTAAAGAATTTATAGCTTAGTCTTGCTTTCTTTTCATTCTTTCTTTTTTTTTCTCATGGGGGAATCGGTTCCCCCCCCTGGGGGTATCGATTCCCCTCAAGCATTCTGGAATTTCATATACGATGAGGGGGTATCGGTTCCCCCCTGGGGGTATCGATTCCCCTCTAGCATTCTGGAAATCATATTCGTTGAAGGGGTATCGGTTCCCCTTGAATGGGTACCGATTCCCCTAGCCCGAAAATCCTAATTTGAGCTCGGAAATCATCCCATTTCAGCTCAAACATACATATTTCACTCTCTTTACTACTCTTAGCTTTCATACACTTACTTTAACTAATTATTATCCATTAAATACCTCTAAAACTTAGAAATCTAATTCTCCATGTAGAATTTAAGAATCCAACCCAAATTCCAATATGTTCTAATTTGAATTCTAACACCTCATACTTCTTAGTTAGCTTCTTGACAAGTCAAAAATCTTATTCAAACTTCAAAAACTCATTCCTATCAAAATTTCCTCTAAAAATTCATTTTCCAAATCATTCTCTAAAACACTTATCTTGTTGTTTTAATGTCATATAAGCTTTCCTTTAGCTTATATAACATCCAAGCTTCCATTTCCAATCTTAAAAATCAAAGAAACTACCAAGGTTCATATTCTTACCTTTACTTGCAAGCTCCACGTTGAGAGAAGGAAGAGAAGAAAATAAGGAAGAAGGGAGAAGAAATGAGAGGGTTCTGGAACCTAATGTCACACGTGGGTCTCATAGAACCCCATAACATTTTATTTTTAATTAAAAATTACTTACAAATGACCATTTGGTCCTTACTTCCATCTCATATTTACTAACCATACATTTTAAACTATATAATTATTCTACTTTAATCACCAAATGTTGAAACTTTGCAAATTAATCACTCACCCGACATGGAGGATATTACATGGATTTACCACGATGACATCAAATAGTTATTTTTTTCCGATTTAAAGTTGAATTTAATATAATTTCAATAAAACTCGATTCTCGAATTTAAATAGGATTTAATGACTTTCGTTTAATTCAAAGTTTTAATTGAAAATTTTATCTAATATAATATGACATTAAATTTTCACATTTCATCCAAATTAAAAATAATTAAATAAAATATTAATTTGTCAAATTAATAATATTAATTCAAAAAAAAATTTAATAGTAGATCATGCTAAAATAATTTTTGTATCAAAATTTAATTAATAATATATAAAAGAATCCCATTTAAATTGATACAGAGAAAATTTTATTTTTCTTATTAAATAAATAAATAACACTCACCTCCGACACTTCAAATCCCATTTATTTATATTCTGGTCACATACGTAGAATTTCAAACCTTTGAATGTGTGGCCTTAGACTTTAGATAGTGACGCCCAAGTAAACCTAAAACAATCCAAGCAAAAATCCTTTGACTCATGCAGAAATAAAGAGAACTTTGAAAGGAAATAACGCACAAAGACAAAACAAAGAGAATTGAGTGAATGCTTTGTATATTCCTCAAAACAAAAGTGAGAAAAAATAGGAGGGAATATGCCTCTATTTATATATAAAGTCCCCCACATCCAATAACTAAGATTAAAGTACATCGACGGTCAAGATTAAATATTTCCTACAAGATCTCTTAGTCTAAGAAAATCTTATCAATCTAGTCAAATCATTCCATAGGTAGCCAATTACATGGATTATGGAAACAAATCAAAGGGAATAAGCATTAACCAAGTGATCTACTTGCCATATCCATCACGCACGGCTCTTCAACTTCTAGGATGGGCCAACTCAATTGGGTCTGGATAGGCTAAGATACTGTTAAGAGTGTCATGGACAGCTTGATTTGTATTGGTCGTATTGGTCTTCCCTCTAAACTCTCGATCTGTGACACTGTATATGCATGCTTTAAACGTGGTTCTAATCATATATAATTTGACATCTAATGTTTAAATTAAGTGAAAACAGTCTAATTAATATACTAACAAACTTTTAAAATTTAAGATATATTTTTAGCAACGTTAGGTACATCTAATCTATTTTTAAAAAACATTTTCATATTGCTTTGTCGTGGACCTAAAAGAAATATTTTCAGTGTGAAGTTTAATATTAGCTTGTTCAACCAGCGTCTGAACTTTCAAGCTTGGGAATTGCGACCTATTGCCATGTAAGTGATAATTAGGATTGGTCCGATTGGAGTAAGACGTAATTAAAACAATTTGGTATAGTTATATATTTGATTCACATTACTTATATCTTTTATCAATTTAATATTAATTGATAGAGAGTGTAAGTAATAAAGTCCAAATGTGTAATTATACTAATTTTTTAACTACGGCGTCAGATACTCCGTCAAATATTAACAATAGATGGCTTGATTGACATCATTTAAATAGTTAAAAGATCTATAGTCAAAATAAAATCTGCCCATAATAAAGTGGCCATGGATGTAATTTACCCTTTAAAACATGTTTGCTACAATTAATCTATTTTTTGAAACATTTTCACGCTGTTTGGAGTGTACCTAAAAGAAATATTTTTTTATGTGATTTTAAACATTGACTTATCTCAACCAGCTAGAGATGAACAGAGGGTGAAGCGTGTGGGGATGATAACTCCTCTTAATTTTTTTAATTTTTTTTTATATTTTAGAGATTTTTTTGGTTTTTATTGATAATTTATTTTTTATCCCTAAAATTTTATAAATTTATAATTCTTAAAATTTTATAAATTCACTTATCTACTATAAAATTCTATGTCCGTATCTATAATCAACTTCTCAACTTTCAAGCTAAGGAATTCAGACCTATTGCCATGTATATTGGTTATCATAATACCTTTGATTTAATGCTTTTTTAAACATATTAGTAATAAATAGAATGGGAGTGAGATAGTTAAAAATTTTGGTATAATTCTATATTTTATCCTCATTATTTCTATTAATTTAATCTTAATTGATAAAATATGTAAGTAATAAAGATCAAATGTATAATTATATTAAAAAATTTTAACTACTAAGTCAGCTACTCTATCAAATGTTAACGACAGATGACTTAATTGACATTATTTAAATATCTGAAAATTTAATTAACAAAATTAAAAGATCTATAATCAAAATAAAACATGCCCATAATAAAGTGACCATGGTGTAATCACCCTTTAAAAATGTTTGGTACAATTAAATTAAATATTTATTTAATTGTTATTAAAGAAACTCCTAAAATGTAAGTTCGTACACGAGTTACTTGGGTGATTAATATAGTATATGAGATTTGAATTTAACCGTCTTGATTGAGTATCCGATGTTACAAGAGAAACTACTGATGAAGAAGAAGAAGAAGAAGAAATTCCACTACTGTCGAAAATACAATAAAAAGTCTTATTTGATGTGAGCTGGTGCTTGCTAATGAAATCGTGCAAGGAGCTGTATCCCACCTCAAATTTCAGGTTCACATATTAACCAAATGTGGCCAAAGAATACCTGTCGATGACTAATACATTTCATTTTGTTTCATCAAGTCAAAGGTGAAATCAAAAATAATAAATAATACAAAATATGTTTTGTAAAAATACATGAAACCCATTATCAAGAAAAGCTGAAACGAGGTGTTGTCTTAAGAAAATTTCTGCATATTTTCCCCCAGCTCTTCCTGTCAGGTTCACCTATCTCCAATCCGATTTTGGCTTTCTCAGCAAACCCTCTCTGTATATTCAACGCACAAATAAGGATTAACTAATTACAATGGAACCAAGTATGTATATATATATATATATATATATATATATATATATATATATATTTGAAAGATATAATGTCAAAAAATGCCCCTTATGTTTAATTAATTGTCATTTATGACAAAAAATACTATTAATTTGGAGTATCGATTCTTTATTAACTACCCGTTTCTATTAAAGGAGAGATCTTTCTGTCTCAAAATGAGTCAAAATGTTTTAGAAAAAAGAATATGGACCAAAGTGACTTTAATTTTTTTTTGAGCATTTTACTCCTACATTTTATTTATGATAAAAAGATTCCTCATTTAGACTTTCACGATGAAACTTTTTTGGTCCCAAAATGAGACATTTTCAAAAAAATAAAATGGTTATTTAATCAAAATTTACATAATTTTGTTTGATTATGCCTAATCAAGGTTGAAAGTGGTGGATTAAATTACCTGGATGGAGTTGTTATTGAGAAGGCGATCGATGAGGTTGAACAAGATGTCCTTGGTGTACTCGGGGTGGCCTTGAATGCCAAGAATATGTTGCCCAATTCCGAACATCTCCACCCCCGTCTTGTCCGAGAATGCGATCACATCAGCTCTCATCGGAACCTCGTACACTTCATCTTGGTGGCATTCTATGATCGACAATGAAGATGGTATTTCCTCCAACTCTTCCATGAAGCTTGGGACCGACAACAAATCTTTCACAATCTTCACTTTCCTCAGCCCTATATCCCATCCACTGCACGCCTTCCCGACTTTCCCCCCCCCCCCCAACGATCTGCACAGAACCTGGTGGCCGAAGCAGATGCCGAGAACTTTCTTCTCCATGGCATCAAGCGTCTGCAACAGGAAGCAAAGCTTGAGAATCCACTGGTCGTTTCCGTAAGCATCGTGGGAACTGCCACTGATGACGAATCCGTCGTATTTGTAGAGCGCGGTCATGTCCGGGAACTCTCCGTCGACGACCCTGAATAAGTCCCATCTCTCTCCTTCTTCTCCGAAAGCAGCGACGAATACGTTGAAATAGCATCCGTACATCTTCTTCACGTACTCTGAGTCCCTGGCGGCCAGCCGAAGAGCGTATCTTCGTTCTCCGGTTAGCTTCATTGTTTTTATGACAAAACAACTGGAAAATTTGTTGAAAAAACTTGAATTTTGAGGGAGAAAACTGGGGTTTATATAGAGATTCTAAGTAAGGGATTGGAAATTTCGATGGTGGGGTAGGTTTCTGGGTTAATTTGAAAACTGATGAATTGTGCAAGGATTTTGACAGATTCGTCTGGACTTTGGGGGCTCGGTTTGAGTGCAGTCCACATGCATTTACTGTACGCTATGGGTACACGTAATTTTTTTATTAATCTTAAAGATGAATATCAATCATTTTATATTAATCTCAAAGAATAATAATAAATTTTTACCATCGAAGTCACCGAGGTTCGTATGAGCACCATTATTAAAATAAGTTATTAATCATTTTTTTAAAAATTTTAGGATGAATATATACTCATCCTCATGTACATGTGGATCCGTCACTACTCGTAGCATTTTTACAGCAGATCATTGCTACTGTTGTTTATTTTGTCTGCCTAACCCATTAAGACTTTGGATGTACAATTTGATAATCAAATTATCACTATATAATACTACTTGACTTCTTGTCATAAACCATTATTTTCTTCTCAAAAGATATTTCTTGTTATAATTTTTTTAGACAGACCGTAGTGATTATAAAATAATATTTGTTTAAAATATTTTTTTAGCTATTAACAACACATCATCTACAAACACAATTGCTTGAACTCAATATCTTTAAGAAAAATAATAATATCATATATCGCTAAAATTGGTTAATGAATTATGGATTAATAAATTTAATTAGAAAGAATTAATCATTTTCCATCGATTCATTTAAAGGATTTTTTTAAATCATTTATAATTTAATTGTGAAATGTATAGATTTACTGTTCACTGCACGTTCAAAATGCATTTATTGTGCAGTCCACTAGAATTCACTATGTTATTGATGCTATTTAACTTCCACAAATCAAACGTGTTCATAAAGTTATTTACACTTCTATTGGGCAATAATATGCTAAGAATCGGTTTAAACACTATAAATTTTTTATTTGAAACAATAATTGTTTAGGCCAGGTCTCGTATCAGTAAAAACTTCCATTTTTATTTGAAAATGAATCTATTAATTAGTGTTTATTGCTTTTCAATCTTTAATACTTAGATTTAGTGATGATAATTTCTTTTTACCATTTTAACTTGATTTGATTTAATTGAGATTTTTTCCCCAAAAGAATTGAGTGTTGGATAGGTTTTTATCAGAACTTTTGAGATCAAATCTAATTTAGGTAAATCTCATCTGATATATTTTTTAAATATTATTTTTATATAATATATTTAATATTTTAATGATTTTTTTTTGAAATCAATGTGAGATGGGTCAGATTTTTTTTTAATTTTCTAGGATCAAATCGTGTTACATTTTTACTATATCAAATTAGGATCAGATCAAATTAAATCATATTAAAATTGAATCAAATGAAATTTTTTAAATTTCGAATTAAATTCAATACCACTGAAAATTTGACCAGTTCCATATACCTGTTGTCGTCCCTAATTAGATCTGCACAGATAATAATGTGAACTCTGAAAATAGGAATCTTGGGAAATGGCCGGATGTATGTTGCCTTAAATTGAGGTAGATGCAATGGAAATTCCCTTTCCAAGTTGCTACCCGTTGTGTCCGTATTCAACGTCAAATTCAACGTGCATATATACCTTGTTGGTTTGAATCTTAACAAATTATCTAGGTGTCTTTTTTAAGAGATGTAATAAAGGTGAATGTCGAAATTCGAACTCACGTAAAATAGAATAATATGAATATTTTTAATGACTCATTCAATTAATAGATCTCATATCTAAGTGTCCTTGATTCGAATAATGTTACATCTTTTCTGCTAATATAATCTTGGGTAATTTATGTATTTAGTCACCCACCTACTCTTACAACTCCATTTTTATCATCAGTTTTTTTTCTTCAAAATCACAACTAACGTTATGTTTAAGTATCTACTATTAAAAAAATAAACAACACTACTAACATGATAATTTTTTTCCAATAATTAAGTTACATTACCTTATGATAATATGTCAACATCCCTATTAATTTTTAAGTTTGAGCGACCAAAACATAACGTTAAATATAATTTTGAAAGAAAAAATAGTTGAGTCACCAAACAAAACCGTGAGAATAGATGAGTGACTAAATACGTAGTTTACCCTATAATCTAAATCAATTTTGATGTCGAACACGAATACTTTTAAGGATTGAAGAGTGTTCCCCCCCCCCCCCTCAACAATAAAACATTATCCTCAAAGCTGCAAATCGAATTGCTTTCTTCTGATGGCGTGTTCAACACCAAAACATAGGAAAATAAACAAGTAAAACAATCTTCGTATCCTTTCATTTGACAGCTAGTTGCAAGAAAAATTAAAATAAATGAATTAGGGCAATGGAAGTTAAATAAAACTAGTCAGTTTTCCTTTTCATCAGGAAACAAAACTATTTCGTGTTCACTTTTAACCAATACAACATGCTTTCCTCAAACTTAATACAAACTGTATGGTCTAACCTTTAAAATTCAAGTGAAAGCATCATCGGGAATTTTCGAGTGAACTACTTTCAGCCAAGACACCATGGTTTGTTTCATTTCAGTGATAATCTCACCTATTCCTTGTCTTGACAAACTTTGGCCTTGAAGCTTTCTTCTCCATCTTTTCCCTTTTCTTGCGAGTCTTTTCATCTTCAACCTCTCCCTAATTCACACACAGTCATATGAATACGGATATATCTACATCTACTTCATAAAAAGAATATGAAGGTGTGGAATACCTCTGAGCCTGATGATAAAAACCCTCTAATGAACCCAAAAGATTTGTATGCTCCAAATGCTGGTATCTGAAAGGCAACAAGTTACTCCATAATGTTATGCCATCAGCCTTTTTTCCCCACCCAAGTGAGTTAAAATAGATTCTACCACATAACTATGAAATTTTCGGCAAATCCATATTAGCATAGAATTTTCTATTGGCAAATGTTGTTCTTAAAGACTTGCATCATCTTAAGATCCTGAATTCCTTTCGTTCGAATCCTAAAAACCTGGAAAATGACTAATAGGTATTCATCTATCAATAACAAATCCAATCAGGTACTTTTCACCGTAAATAGAAACACCTAACTAATCAATCCTAGAAATGAGCATCATTGTTATATGAGACACGAACATGATCCCTCCCCTAATAAGTCAAAGCCTTCAGGTCTGCTGGTAAGCATTAAGTAGTTTCCGGAAAAGTATGTCTCCGGTAATGGGAGTCGATACGACCTAACAGTTAGATCAGCTACCATTGGCGCACAAGTCTGACAGAAGGAAGATAACTAGATTAAAAGCTAAAATTTGTTTACTTCAGTTATCCTTTAAATACCACTGCCAATTCACTATGCTCCATGAATGCTATTTAATTAACCTACCAATGAACGCGGTATGAGATTAAGCAGAAAAAATGAAACTACTATACGTTATGGGCTGAATTTATTTTAGTAAAGACCACTATTTGATTCTGATTTTCAATTTAAGGCTTAGGTTGTAATTTTATTTCCTTGTTTCATGATTGTGTTTTTATTTCAGTTGATTTATTTTCTTTTTAAGAATAGGTTTCCTTTTATGTAATAAGACTAGTCCTTACTTAAAGGGACATATAAAATAATAACACTCTAAACAGAATTTATATCATAAATCCCAAAAATCTGGGTCTCTTTGATAAGATGAAAGGTTTCACTCTCCCTTCGACCAGCTGAACTACAAATCCAAAATACAAAATCACGACACTATAACAAAATTAATTCTCCCATTTAAATGAAATTAATAAAATCTCTTCTACAAAATTTGATATCTCACATTTTCCCCAGATATTTTGACAATTTTCACTACTATTTCAAAATCTTTAAAAGAACATAAGAGCGTGTAAGCATTAGATGAACTCCCTCCAGAAACTATAACTCCTCAATTCCAGAAGTAATCAAATAATGGAAGTATCAGACGAGCTTTATGTGAGCAAACTAAGTAAACAGAACTTACCACAAGATATGTATACCAAAACTTGTCAGAGATGATGGACATCAGTTGCACAAAACTTGTGATATAGATTACATCATGTAAATATCTGCAAAAAAATGGGTTTCTCAAATCAAGAATATTCGATGCATACAGATGAAAGAAAAATATTCAGAATTTAGGACTATTGAATCAATTCATAATGTCGACATCACTTTAGATATGAGCAACATTGTTTTAAATTTTAAACCATAAAATCCAGATAATAGGTAAATGGAACTTATTGGCGGATATAAAGCCAAATCAAAGTAATAGTAATAGTCATCCCAAGTTAGCAAAGCCTGAGGCAGTATTCCCCTGTTGCACACATTGCCTCATGTACAAAGAATTAGGAAATGTATTAAGAATAGTGTTTCTAACGAAATTCTTCCTAATCTTTTAATAAATTAAAAGATAAAAAACAAAACCATACATTGAACTTATGTTGAAAATAGACAAAGCATTGAACATGACATACCCACATATTCCACCGGTACTCATATCAAATCCACCATCAAGAAGCTCTCCATCATCGGAATAAGAAGGCATTGCCATCTGGGCAATTTGTTGATAGGGTATGAAGTAAGCTGCAGATGTCAAAAGTAGACCTACCCAATGTTTCCATGTGAATGAAGAGTGGAAGATCAACATCCTAACCAAGACGTATACAACCTAGATAAATAGAAATTTGAAAAATAAATCCAATCAAATAAGCTTGTTAACAAGCACAAAATGCAACTATGGAAATATAAAAATAGATAGTACTTGCAACAACTACTCTCTATTCTTCTACATCAACTACAAAGTAAAAGCTGCAAGAATTTTAATGTATTAGATCAAACAAAAGCTAAGATACCATAGGCTACTGATAAAAAAGGGTAAGGTTCAAATAAAATGGTCAATAAATACTACGTAGTGCTTGTTGTTGCATATTAATAAAGTACATATATGTTAGA